GCAAAAAATATCATTTGCCTGTAAGCAAAAACTGGTGGGATCATAAAATAGAGAAAGTCATAGAAAATGATAAAATTAAACTGCTCTGGGACTTCAGAATTCAAACAGACAAGCACCTGCAACATAACACCCCAGACTTAACATTGTCGATAAGAAAGACAAAAAAGTCTGGATAGTGGACGTGGCAGTGCCTGGAGATAGCAGAATAGAAGAGAAAGAACTGGAGAAGATAACAAAATACAAAGACCTACAAATAGAAATAGAAAGACTGTGGCAAAAGCAAGCAAGGGTAGTACCAATAGTCATAGGCGCCTTGGGTGCAATCCCAAAACAACTGGAGCACCACTTGAACACCATCATCGGCATTGACAAATTCGCTATTAGTCAATTGCAAAAGGCGGCCTTACTAGGAACTGCTTCCATCCTGCGACGATACCTGTAATACCATCAAACATCCACATCTGCCTTTCCCAGGTCCTGGGTAAGGACTCGATAGGTAGACAAAATGCCAAATCCAGTCTGAACATCTGGCTGACTGTGCGATGATCCATAATAATAATAATAATAATAAAGTTGGAAGGGAACTTGGAGGTCATTGAGTCCAACCCCCTGCTCAGGCAGGAAACTCTATACCATTCCAGACAAATAGGCTGTCCAGTCTCTTCTTAAAACTTCCAGTGTTGGAGCATTCACTGTTTCTGGAGGCAGGTTGTTCCACTGGTTAATTGTTCTCAATGTCAGGAAATTTCTCCTTAGTTCCAGGTTGCTTCTCTCCTTGATCAGTTTCCATCCGTTGCTTCTTGTCCTGCCTTCAGGTGCCTTGGAGAATAACTTGACTCCCTCTTCTTTGGGGCAGCCCCTGAGATACTGGAAGGCTGCTATCATGTCCCCCCTCGTCCTTCTCTTCGTTAAACTAGACATACCCAATTCCAGCAGCTGTTCCTTATATGTTTTAGCCTCCAGACCCCTAATCATCTTTGTTGCTCTTCTCTGCACTCTTTCTAGAGTCTCCGCATCTTTTTTACATCGTGGTGACCAAAACTGGATGCAGTATTCCAAGTGTGGCCTTACTAAGGCATTGTAAAGTGATATTAATACTTCACGTGATCTTGATTCTATCCCTCTGTTAATGCAGCATAGCACTGTGTTGGCTTTTTTGACAGCTGCAGCACACGGCTGGCTCATATTTAAGTGATTGTCTACTAGGACTCCGAGATCCCTCTCACAGTTACTACTATTGAGCAAGGTACCCCCTATACTATACCTGTACATTTCAGTAATCTCCTGCTCAAGGCAGGAGACACTATAGCATCCTGCTCAAATGGCTGTCCAGTCTCTCCTTAAAAACCTCCAGTGATGGAGCATGTGCAGCTTCTGGAGGCAAGTCTTCTACTGATTAAGTGTCCTCACTATTAGGCAATTCCTCCTTGCTGGCTCAGGAATTCTGGGAGTTGAAGTCCACGAGTCATAAAAGAGCCAAGGTTGCCTACCCCTAGTCTAGGGTCTCCTGCTTGAGCCGGGGGTTGGACTAGAAGACCTCCAAGGACCCTTCCAGCTCTATTCTGATGGAGGGATGGATTGAATGAATTGGCACGGTGGGAGTCCAGAGATGACTTTCCGTTTGAGCGCCTGTTTTAATCCGTGCCGTTGGAATCTCGCCTTTGCTGGGCTTAGTTCTCCTCAACCAGCTGTGCGAAAGGCAGCAGGTGGGCTCCCGACCAGTTCAAAGGACAGGGGATCAAGTGATGCCCTTTGCTGAAACGCCCGGGTGATCTGTGGCTTCAGCTTTCAGGGTTGATCTTCCACCTCTGAGGAAAGGCTGAGCAGATGTGCGTCTGAAGTTCCACCTGTCTCTGTAGGAGCACTCAGATCTGCAGAGAACCCCTTTGGCAGACGTTTCCTAGTCAGAAGCTCATATTTCTCAAACGCAGGTCTTCTCCACCCTGTGTTGTTCCTCTTGGAAGCTTCATTTGCCTGCCACCTTCTCCATAACTGAAATGTCTCTAAAAGACGTCTTCTCTTTTAACGAGCTTTGAATTACCAATAGTAGAGAATATTTGTTTCTCCTGGTTGAACTGTGGGGTCCTTGGTGGTCTCTGAGGCTGGTTGTTTCCTTGCAGACGTTTCATGACCCAACTAGGTAACATCTTCCATATTTGAGCACTGAAGATGTTACCTAGTTAGGTAAGGAAACATCTGCAAGAAAACAGCCAGGAACTCCACAAGCTTTGAGTTGCTCATCGGTTTTAGCATTAATCTGAATGTTTTTATTTTTAAGGGTGCGTTAGCCATCTTCAATAGCTCCAGGAGAGAAAAGTGGGACACAAATGGAATCAATCAATCAATCAATCAATCAGTCAGTCAGTCAGTCAGAGGTGTACAGCCTGTAACCTCATCCATTCTCTTTGCAACTCCTGGAATCCCTTTAGATCTTGATTTAGTCTAATTCAGTGGTTCTCAACCTTTTTAATGCTGCGGCCCCCAACCGGTCGTAAGTCAAGGACTACTCAACCGGTTGTAAGTCGAGGACTACTCAACTGGTGCAGCACCATTTGCAGAATGGGACTTTTGGCGGGCTCAGCAGGGCAGAGACAGCCTGGACAATTCCTATTGGCTTTTGAAAGCCAATAGAATTAGACTCTATTCAAGAGAGTCTCTTCTATTGGCTTTCACAAGCCAATAGAATAAAAGGGAGTAGCACAGCTAAGGAAAAGGGGGGAAAAATGGCGGACTGCGTTGTTTGGCGACCCCCGTGAAGTGGTCGTTCGACCCCAAATGGGGTCCCGACCCACAGGTGGAGAACCACTGGTCTAATTCAACAGAACACGATAATAGAATTTCAGAGTTGAGAGGGACCTTGGAGGTCATCTAGTCCAACCCCCTGCTCAGGCAGGAACCCCTACACCATTTCAGGCAAAGGGTTGTCCAATCTCTTCTTGAAAAACCTCCAGCGATGGAGCACCCAGAACTTCTGGAGAGAAGCTATTTCATTGGTTAATTGTTCTCACTGTTAGGAAATTTCTCCTTAGTTCTAGATGTTTGACAGTCTCTCTTTGTGAGCATCTCTAAGGAGAATCATGAATCATGGCAGCTGTGTTAAACTTCCTCTAGGCTTAATTATCTAGAAAAATCAAGAGCACTTCTGTGAATCTTATGACACCTTAGTCTCCTTTTCAGACAATGGAGGTTTCCTACAGGTCTACCGTCCCATAAGAATAGCTGTTTAATACATTTTCTCAGACTAAATAATCAAGTGGATGTAATCCCTCCTGTTGCAGAATCAAGCAAGAATTTAGTTTAGCAAGAATTGACTCGGGCCTAAGCCTATTAAGTAACCATGTCTGGAATTTTAAGTATACCTCTGCATGTAAAGGTCAGAATACAATAAATGGGACTGCAATCTAGCGTTCACTGCATTCACAAATGTTTCTATACCTACAGGAGAAAGGATAGGCTAGCATACTAGAATCCACACCTTCTCAGCCTAAGGCTAGGATCCTCTCCTTGAATTGGTTTCCATCCGTTGCTTCTTGTCCTGCCTTCAGGCGCCTTGGAGAATAGCTTGACTCCCTCTTCTTTGAGGCAGCCCCTGAGATACTGGAAGACTGCTATCCTGTGCCCCCTTGTCCTTCTCTTCATTAAACTAGACATGCCCAATTCCAGCAACCATCCTTATCTTAACCAATGTCAAAAGGTCCCTTCCAATTGTCTTATTCTGTTATTTAACTTTCCAGTCCCCCAATTCTATGTCCTAAGTTGCTTTTCTCGCCCTCAGAAATGGGTTATTTCAAGGCCCTGACCTTGACGTGAACCGTTCTGAGCTCAAAAGCTGGAACCCTCCATTTTGAAGTTGGGCCATTTCCTGCACATTCGGAACCGCCCTTTGCAATGTTTTGCAAATCTCTTTTAACGACCTGCATTCTGAATTCTGTCTGGAAGTGGGTTGGCAGCTAGCAAAGTCCTTTTAAGACAAAACAAAAAAAAAAAAAAAACCCCAAAGTCTTAAAGTCTTCATGATGATGACCTCCGTTCAGGTCTGCGTCACTTTGACTTATAGGGTGCTTGGCACGTAAAACTGCTGCACACAAAGCACGCTGGGACTTAAGTACTCTTTTCTCTTATCAACATCCATGTCATTACAAAGGGGCACCGATTATGGGAAGGGATCTTGTGACAGGTGCAGGAATTGGGTATGTCTAGCTCAGTGGTTTTCAACCTTTTTCATGCCACGACACCCCTCCCAACCGGTCGTAAGTTGAGGACTACTCAACCGGTCGTAAGTCGAGGACTACTCAACTGGTGCAGCACCGTTTGCAGAATGGGGCTTTTGGCGGGCTCAGCAGGGCAGAGACAGCCTGGACAATTCCTATTGGCTTTTGAAAGCCAATAGAATTAGACTCTAAAAGCCAATAGAATCAAAGGGAGTAGCACAGCTAAGGAAAAGGGGAAAAAAATGGCGGACTGCGTTGTTTGGTGACCCTCGTGAAATGGTCGTTCGACCCCAAATGGGGCCCCGACCCACAGGTTGAGAACCACTGGTCTAGCTTAATGAGAAGGATGACTGGGGGGGGGGAGGGTGACAGGATAGCAGTCTTCCAGTATCTCAAGGGCTGCCCCAAAGAAGAGGGAGTCAAGCTCTTCTCCAAAGCGCCTGAAGGCCGGACAAGAGGCAACGAATGGAAACTCAACAAGGAGAGAAGCAACCTAGAACGAAGGAGAAACTTCCTGACAGTGAGAACAATTAACCAGTGGAACAACCTGCCACCAGAAGCTGTGAATGCTCCAACACTGGAAGTTTTTAAGAAAAGACTGGACAGCCATTGGTCTGAAATGGTTATAGGGTCTCCTGCCTGAGTGGGGGGTTGGACTTGATGACCTCCCAGGTCCCTTCCAGCTCTGTTTTTTCTGACATTTGGGTCCCTGGACCTGCATGGCTTCGGCGCCCTGTTCAAGGGGGGGCTGGGAGGATCTGACCTGACGTGTCCTGCTGTCCTTTGCAGGTTCCCTGTTATTCCTACGGACAGAAGCTCTCCAAGCTGGCCATCCTGAGGATAGCCTGTAACTATATCCTCTCCTTGGCCAGACTGGCAGACCTGGATTACAGCGCGGACCACAGCAACCTGAGCTTCTCCGAGTGTGTGGAGCAGTGCACCAGGACCCTGCAGGCCGAAGGCCGGTCTAAAAAAAGGAAGGTAGGTTTCGGATCGGAGGAGGGGATGGCCTCCTTCCTTTCTTCCTTTCTCTTTCTTTCTTTCTTTCTTTTTTTTATTTCCCTTCCTTCCTCCTCCTCCCTCATTCCCCTCTCTTCCTTCCTTCCTTCTTCTTCTCTTTCTTTCTTTTCTTTCTTTCTTTTTTCTTTCTTTCTTTTCTTTCTTTCCCTTCTTTCCTCCTCCTCCCTCATTCCCCTCCTTTCTCTTCCTTCCTTCCTTCTGTCTTCTTCTTTTCTTTCTTTCTTTCTTTTCTTTCTTTTCTTTCTTTCCCTTCTTTCCTCCTCTTCCCTCATTCCCCTCCGTTCTCTTCCTTCCTTCTTCTTCTTTTTCTTTCTTTCTTTCTTTCTTTCTTTCTTTCTATCTCTCCCTCCCTCCCTTTTTCTTTCTCTGTCTCTCCCTCCCCTCCTTTCTCTTCCTTCCTCCCTCCCTCCCTCCCTTCTTCCCTTTTCTTCCTCCTTTCTTTCTTTCTCTCTCTCCCTTCCTTCTTCCCTCTCCCTCCTTTCCCTCCTTTCTCTTCCTTTTCTTTCTTTCCCTTTTTTCCTCCTCCTCCCTCATTCCCCTCTCTTCCTTCCTTCCTTCCTTCCTTCCTTCCTTCCTTCCTTCTTTCTTTCTTTCTTTGTTTCTTTTTTCTTCTTTCTTTCTTTCTTTCTTTCTTTCTTTCTTTCTTTCTTCCTTCCTTAATGGCACAACAGATATTGTGTAGAATACTGGTCTTCCCATGGTGACTTCTCAAGCTAGGGGAGATGGCCACTCGGCAAATGCGGAGGGTCCTTCAAAGATCAGCAGGATGTTCCCTCGCTCCTCTAGTCTTTCTCACCGGGAGCTCTGGACACAGGACACACAGTCCTCGACTTACAACCACAATGAAGCCAAACGTTTCTGTTGCTAAGCCAGACCGTTGTTAAATGGGTTTTGCCCCATTTTAGGACCGTTCTGGCCACCGCTGTCAAGTGAATCGCTGCAGTTGTTAAGTTTGCAACTAACCATTTGTTACACACTTGTTATCCCCATTTGTTCAACACCTCCTCCTCCTCCCCCCCCCCCAGGAACCCCGGGCTCCACATAACGACCACAATGGGGAGAGCGCCAGGATTGTGTGGATGATCATATGACCATAATTTTGGGCTCAGTTGTGGTTGTAAATGGAGGAGGTCAATCAGAATAGAGCTGGAAGGGACCTCAGAGGTCTTCTAGTCCAACCCCCTGCTCAAGCAAGAGTCTTTCTACCATCTCAGACAAATGGCTGTCCAGTCTCTTCTTAAAGACCTCCAGTGATAGAGCATCCACGATTTCTGGTGGCAAGCAGTTCCACTGGTTAATGTCCTCACTGTCAGGAGGTTTCTCTTTAGTTTCAGGTTGCTTCTCTCCTAGAATAGAATGGAATAGAATAGAATAGAATAGAATAAGAACAGGAATAGAATAAGAACAGGAAAAGGAATAGAATAGAAAAAGGAATAGAATAGAATAGAATAGAATAGAATAGAATAGAATAGAATAGAATAGAATAGAATAGAATAGAATAATGATGAATAGAATAGAATAGAATAAGAACAGGAATAGAATAAGAACAGGAAAAGGAATAGAATAGAAAAAGGAATAGAATGGAATGGAATAGAATAGAATAGAATAGAATAGAATAGAATAGAATAGAATAGAATAGAATAGAATAGAATAGAATAGAATAGAATAGAAACAGGAATAGAATAAGAACAGGAAAAGGAATAGAATAGAAAAAGGAATAGAATAGAATAGAATAGAATAGAGTAGAGTAGAGTAGAGTAGAGTAGAGTAGAGTAGAGTAGAGTAGAGTAGAGTAGAATAGAGTAGAATAGAATAGAATAGAATAGAATAGAATAGAATAGAATAGGAACAGGAATAGAATAAGAACAGGAAAAGGAATAGAATAGAAAAAGGAATAGAATAGAATACAATAGAATACAATAGAATTGAATTGAATTGAATGAAGAATAGAGTAGAGCAGAGCAGAACAGAACAGAGTAGAATAGAATATAGAGTAGAGTAGAGTAGAGTAGAGTAGAATGAAGAATAGAATATATAGAGTAGAGTAGAGTAGAGTAGAATAGAATAGAATAGAATAGAATAGAATAGAATAGAATAGAAGCTGGAAGGGACCTTGGAGGTCTTCTAGTCCAGCCCCCTGCTCAAGCAGAAGTCCTTATACCACTTCAGACAACTGGCTGTCCAGTCTCTTCTTGAAAATCTCCCATGATGGAGCATCCACAGCTTCCGGAGGCAGCTTCTGTTCCACTGGACTATCTGTCTGCTTGTGCGAACACTGTAACCCGCGTGTAAACTTGGTTTTTCAGCTGCGAGTCCGTGCAGGGCAGGCTCACCTCCTGGCTTTTCCTTCTGTCTTTCGAAGGATTCTGCGAAGCTGGTGCCGTGGAGGGTTGTCTCTCTTTCCCCCCCCCCCTCGTCCTTTCACCCCGGTGGCAAATGAGATTTCCCAGCCGTTGTGACTTTTTCCACCCTTCCCCCAAACGGCTGGCTGGCTCTAGGCAGGCAGAGGCTCCAGATGTTCCATTTTGCTGGCTCGTGACTCAGCGTTCCTTTGCCTTGCCTGACTGGCTATCTCCTTTTGCTGCATGGAATTTGGGTTTGGTTTTTGTTGTTTTTTTAATCCCTTCTTCGATTTGTTTTTACAATAGGAAACAAAGGAAGAATGTTGCGTTCTCCTCCTGGCCCCCTTTCCTTTGCTAAAATGCTGGATTCCTTCACGCTCCGAAAGGGCTCAGGAATGGTTTAAGAAACGACAATAACCTCTTAATTGCCTTCGATATGCTTTCAAAGTAACCCCTTTTCTTTTAAAGAAGACGTTTGACATTTTTAATGTGTCGTTGTTTGCGACTTTGACACGTATAATTCTCCCTGAAAATGTTGCACTCATTTGGACTAGATGACCTCCAAGGTCCCTTCCAACTTTACTACTACTACTACTACTACTACTACTACTATTACTATTATTATTATCTCCTCTCCCCGTCTCCTCCCTTTTTAACGGACTGTTCGTGAAAGCTGCCCGACTTAGCTTTTCTTGTAATATGCATTTTTATTTACAGCCCAAAGACCCCAAAATTAGTCTTTATCTGTGAATTAAAATCAGATCTTCACTTAGTTAAGGCACCAGGCTAAAAAGCAGGAGACTCTTGAGTTCTAGTCCCACCTTAGGCATGAAAGCTGTGTGGATAACTTTGGGCTAATCACCAGGAGGCTGGAAGTTCTAGTCCCGCCTTACCATAAAAACTGGTTGGGTGACTTTGGGCCAATCACCAGGAGGCTGGGAGTTCTAGTCCCACCTTAGCCATGAAAGACGGCTGGGTGACTTTGGTCCAATCACCAGGAGGCTGGGAGTTCTAGTCCTGCCTTAGCCATAAAAACTGGTTGGGTGACTTTGGGCCAATCACCAGGAGGCTGGGAGTTCTAGTCCCACCTTAGCCATGGAAGGTGGCTGGGTGACTTTGGTCCAATCACCAGGAGGCTGGGAGTTCTAGTCCCACCTGAGCCGTGAAAGTTAAGCCACCCACATCCTGGGTGTTTATAGAAGCAAGGACGCCTCTTTGCGACGTCTGTTCTTCGTTGTCTGGCTGTGGAAATGAAACTTTTCCTACACCCACGCAGAGGGACAGTTAATCTTCCACTTAATGACCATCCATTTTACACGAAGTTACGATGTCACTGAGAAAACGACTTACGACTGTTTTTCACAGATGATCTGAATTCAGAGGCTCGGCAACTGGCTTGTACTTGTGACAGTTGCAGGGTCCCGGACCTCCTGACAAGCAAAGTCAATGGAGAAAGCCAGATTTATTTAACAACCCTGTTTAATAGCTTAAGTCAAGGACTATCTGTATAGGCCAGAGGTAGGCCACCTTGGCTCTTTTATGACTCGTGGACTTCAACTCCCAGAATTCCTGAGCCAGCCATGCTGAGGGGAAAGGGAGAGGTTTCCATGCTGAGCCGTGCTGCTCAGGAATTCTGGGAGTTGAAGTCCATGAGTCATAAAAGAGCCAAGGTTGCCTACCTCTGGCCCAGGCCTAGGCCGCTTTCTTACTCGTGGACTTCATCTCCCAGAATTCCTGAGTCAGCATGGGGGAACTATGGCCCCTTCATGACTTGTGGACTTCAACTCCCAGAATTCCTCAGCCAGTATGGCTCAGCTTGGAAACCTCTCCCTTTCCCCTCAGCATGGCTGGCTCAGGAATTCTGGGAGTCGAAGTCCACCAGTCATAAAAGAGCCAAGGTTGCCTACCCCTGGTATAGGCTTTTCTCCATGGCCTTCCCAACATGATGCCTCTTGTCAAATTTTGAGCTTAGAGCAGGATCCAGAGATGTCCTATTTGGATCCCCGGGGGATGCTTGCTACTCTTTCCCTGGATCCCTTCTGTCCGAGTGCTCTGTTAAGAGTGGTCCATATTACCTTCGATCACCACCATATTGCCCTGTTATAAAAATGATGTTGGGACTCTGGAAAGAGTGCAGAGAAGAGCAACAAAGATGATCAGGAGACTGGAGGCTAAAACATACAAGGAACGGTTGCTGGAATTGGGTATGTCTAGTTTAACGAAGAGAAGGACAAGGGGGGACATGATAGCAGTATTCCAATATCTCAGGGGCTGCCCCAAAGAAGAGGGAGTCAAGCTATTCTCCAAAGCCCCTGAAGACAGGACAAGAAGCAACGGATGGAAACTAATCAAGGAGAGAAGCAACCTGGAACTAAGGAGAAACTTCCTAACAGTGAGAACAATTAACCAATGGAACAGCTTGCCATCAGAAGATGGGGATGCTCCATCACTGGAGGTTTTTAAGAAGAGACTAGACACTCACTTGTCTGAAATATGATAGGGTCTCCTGTTTGAGCAGGGGACTGGACTAGAAGACCTCCAAGGTCCCTTCCAACTGTGTTCTTCTATTACCTCCACGCCTTACAGCAGGGGTTTTCAACCTTGGCAACTTTAAGACTT